ACGACGATTAGGACGCACGAAAGAGCGTTCCTCGCGGAAGAAATCAAGGAACAGTTTAAGTACAAGGTCACTGAGATGGTAGTCAATGGTTCTTCGTGTAGCACATTGAGTTTGTCTCTCCTCTTGATCTTCCTTTGCTTCTACAAATTCCTGTAAACCATGAAATTTATATTTCCTGACGATTGCTAATTGTAAATAAGATGCAGCCTGAGATATGTTAAAAACATGAGGAACATTAAGAATGTTGCTTCTGATAATGACAGTTAATTTGCTCACTAATAATCGAGATTTCGATCATCGTAACAACAGCTCATTAATTATATAATGGTGATCGTAGACTGTATTTAATCAAAATATGTCTAGAAATGTATCGAATGAAATTTGATTTGTAACACTAATATTTCAAAGTAGAATAATTTCTCCAAGAAGACACAAATGTCTTCGAACAACTGCCGCCTATATTATATTTTATGAGTGATATTAAAATATTTTTAATGAGAATCGAATGCTAGGTGATGAATTCGACAAAATTTATAAATTAATAATAATAAATTATAGTAATAAATTTTTATAATTATCAAAATTTGAAGAAAGCTTAAAAAATAAATTAACTATATCTCTTGGCGCTAATATAATAAGCAATAACATATATGATTTCTCCGCTCTGCGACCGCCGAATTTTCAATCACATTTTATTTTTTAGTTTTTATTATACTCTTTTTATATGTCGTAAATAATTGCCGTATTTCTCGATAGAGTAATTGCCAAAAGAAAATTGGCCTTTGCGAGCGGAGAAAACCGAAGACCTAGTCGTGCGACGAGGTGTAATATTGAAATGCGACTTAATTAATTACTAAGTAATTATTAATTGCGTATTTGTAATCTCAGTTTAATTATTACGTTAAATAAATGTAAAATAAATTAACCGATAGCAAACATGATTATTTTTATCACAATCCTTAGGAAGTAAGATGACGAAATAGATAAGACGATTGGTAAGACAATTTGCTAATATTTCTAAGCTAATAATAGAACAATTGGTGCTAAACTACACCCGTAATTCTATAGCATTCTTTCATAAGAAAATTACAATTATAATAAATATATTTTTATTTTTTCTATAAAAGTACCGTATATCGAAAAATATATATATTAATATTATTATCAACATATATTAATCATTTTACCTCCCTTTCCGCTATTTGTTAAAAATCAATAATGATAAATAAAAATAATATGAAATATATTTAAAAAAAATTAAACTATTTTTAATTAAGCTAAAATATAATGCTTATTACGCTTACGTTTATTAATAATATAGTTAAGTAGATACATTTGTGTGTGTGGAAGGAATTATGAAATTATATATCATCAATAAAATATAACAAAATGTATATTTGGAATGTATAACACCAATAGAAAAATATTTCTTCTATAAAATATAATTTTTGTGATATATATGTACCATAAAAAAACATATAAAATTTAACAATGAGATACTTTCAAGACACTTTCACATATTTTTTCATACATTTTCATAAAATTACATTCGGAAAATTCCAAATTTACTGTCAGGTATAGGTGCGTTCAAACTCGCAGACAAACTCAAGCCGAGTACGACTCGTGTATCCACTGGATCGATTACACCATCATCCCACAATCTAAAAAAATATCCGAATATTTGTAAAACAAAATTAATATTATTTATATAATATTCGATTTATAACAGATGTAATAATCCTTAAAATACTATATTCTAATTTCTGAAAAAAAAAAAAAAGAAAAAAATTTTTTAGTTATTCTAAACTTTATAGTTATAATTTAATCAATTTTTAAAACGTAGGAATTAAGATTTTAATCGGCAGAAAACCGCTTTATGTCGCAAATTATTTAGCTTAGAATAAGATTTAAGATTGCATAAGATTTAAGACTTGCTACACATTAAATCAGAGATAAAAGTAATTTACCTAGCACTAGAATAATATGGAGTGCCTTCCTTCTCAAACTGTTTTATAATCGGATTTTTGAGTATTTTCTTCTTCTTCTCGTGTCCACTGCAAGATAATTATATAT